TTTCAATTTTTCTTTGCTCCGATCTAACTTAACCAATAGCTCCTCTGGAAAAATTCCAAACATTACAATGCATCTATAAACAAAAATTAGACATCGTCCAAGCTACGTAAGTTAACACAATACACGTTAACATTGGAAATAGACTGGAGCAGCGGTACTCTAATATATAAAAAAAAGTGGCGTTACGACAAACGAAGATTTCGGGTAAGAAATCAAATCAGATTCGCAAAAAAATTGGTGTCTAGTAATTACTACTGTTACTGTTTACCAGAAACGTATTCGAATGCGAATAACCGAAAATTAATTGTACGCAAACTGCACACGTCTTTTCACATTTACCTGTTTCAATACTACCTTCTCACGTGTTCATATTCCATTTTCTTGAAAATAGACTCTTGAAGTCTAAATAGCCTTATAGTACAACGAAGTTCAGTACAAATAGAAGGCACAAGTTGACTTATTTTTTTAATTAAACTGCAACTTTCACCATGTAATTTCCGCCATCATTTTAACATTCATAGTATAACGCAGAATATCCAAATGTAAGTGCATGAAGCGGAATAGACGGTTTGGGGGGTTATTTGACTGCAAGTTTGTAAATAATCTCCGTTGAACAACAATACATTAAAGTTTGCTTTTCCCGTAACACAAACACTTTGCGAAACAACTGTTTAATAATAAATCAATTTCTCCCCTATCCGTGCCTGATGATTTATTCACGTTATTAAGAAGTAATCGACGACGTTCATCAAACATCGGAAATTTTCGTGGAGATTTTAAACCTTACAGAAAACGCTTCCGCTACCTTTTAAGGTTTGTTTAGAGGAAAATAACGTAATACATAATGCATGCGTTATTCTTACAAAAACACAAGCATGATTTCATTTCTCCACGCCCTTAGGGCGACCGACAGAATTTCATTTCACGTGAGCTTGGTCGTATAAACATCGTTGTAAAACGAGATTTTGAATAACATCAACGTTCAACAAAAGCTCCATAAATTTATTCAGTTTGTATTTGCTTATATTCCTTGTACCTCCGCTATATTCAACAAGTAGATTTTTCTGTGAAGATACTGTAATTGAATTTCTGACGGCGATAAACACTATTTTTATGTCCCTTTCTTTATTAGGTATAGAATACCTCCGCAGAACCTTTATAATCCTTTATAAATTGTTAAAATAGAGTTAAACTTTAAAGTCCATCGGCTTTTCCGGCCCCGTACATCCATTATTGCTGTCTAAACCTTCTACGAGAGAATTTACAATAAAAAGCTTTATCTAAATGTAGAAAATTTTTCATGGATTATGGGCCTATATCTCCGCTGTATTTTTTGGTAATATTCACCGTCTCTTGATTTATAGAAATATATAAAAAATAAACTCTACTCGTTTTGGGGGGTCTATCTGCTGTAAGCGCATTATAAATTGCCTGTTTTATTTTGTTCTCGAACTCAAGTAATTTTCTCTAAAGATAAATATAAGCCTTACTTTTTAAGTACTCAAGAGTTACAGTATGGGTCAAGTTTATGTAGTGTCATAAGTAGTTTATGATCTGCAGCACTTTACTATAAAATTAGTATAAATAACGGCTTAGTTAGGTACTTTTACTCTACTAAACTTTTGAACTATATCACTTATCACTTCACTTCTTTTCGAAACTTCTTTTAACTTCATTTACATTGAAATTGGAGAAGTAAGGTATTGCTTCTTTTTCTTCCTCTTTTGAATTTCCAAACTTTCTTCTTATTTCTTTAACTTGTACCTCTTTCTTGAAACTATTCCCAATTTTCTTCATAATCGTCTTCGATTCTTCCTCTAGTCAACGCTAATCGCTTCTCCCTTTCCTGCAATTTAAAATCTTATTCTAACTTCTCCTTCTATTTCTAGCTTCTTCCGAATGTTCTCTTCTTTCAACTTCAATTCATCTTCTTTATTCTTTAGTTCCTCTTCTAATTGTCTATTCATATTTGTAGTAAAGTTGACTCTTCTTGATTCTTCAAATTATTCTTCTCTACAATGGTAATTCACTTTTTTTTCAAATGTAATGTTTGTGCGTTGGCTAAATGCTCTTCTAACTCTTCTACTCTTTCCTGCCAATTATTAATTTCTTTAGCTTGCTCTCGCACCTCCCTGTTATTAACTTCTGTTTTCTTGAATTTTCATTTGTTGTACTACTGCTTGCTCATCTTCTCTCTTGTTTTATTCTTGCTTCGCACTTTCTTAAATCTTCTTGCTTTTAACCAGCCGTTACGGTTAGCGATCCGATTGTTTATCACAATGAGTTTAATGGTTGTTTATTTAATCGCATTTTATATTTGAAAAGCACTTCTCCGATTCGAAAATGTTCCTTCACATATATTTTACCGCTCGTAAATTACCTGAAGTTAAACTGCTAATTCTTTGCTACAATTCGGAGAGATTTCACTCGATAAATGCGCGTTCTGGTTCTTGAAATCGCGAATCTTGACACATACGTGGTAAAAAAATGCGACCGTGAATCCATTTTGTACACACCAATATTTCGCCCCTGAAGTTAAACGAAAACCTTTTGTATTTACCCGAAATAAACCAAGAATAAAGATTCCGTATGGACTTACGCTCCTAACTTCACTAGGAAACCAATTTTAACGTACCTCACGTAGTACGTGACCGCTCGCGAAAAATAGCTTAGAATGCCCGCGCTCCTCACTGCTTACCTATTTAAATCTCTCCCGTGACAGAGCTGGGTACTGCTCGCGAGCGTCTCGCTCGAAAAATCGCTTGCGAGCGCGAGCACTATTCAGAGCGGCCGCTTGGTGCTCGATACTCGAGCGTTTACTTAAAGCACTTTTTTCTGCCCACGAGCGGTTTTTCCGCCCATGAGCGCTTCTTCCGCTCCTCAGCGCTCGAGTGCTCGTCGCTCGAGCGGTTTTTTAGAACGCTCGACCCAGCTCTGTCTCAGTAGACCTATTTTGTGAACGCAACGATCTCGACTAGCACACCTTATAAACGAATATTAAACCTGCATTTTTATCGCGTGCTCGACTTTAAATAGAATGGAAGTTCGAAGAGATCGTGGCAACCGCGCTATACGTTTCTTGTTATCGCTAGACATATCTTTGTTCAAATTCACTATGAAGCGGTACATATGTAAATGTTCCAAAAGACAAATTCAAAACTATAGGGCACATAGCATGGCAATTGGGAAACAAAATATGACAGGAAACGAGATGAACAAAGTTAAGGAGGTTATAAAAAGTACAAGAGAAAAATAAAATATATCGCTTTTTTCAATTTTGATTGAAATGAGGAACAAATGAACACATGAGCATGAAGAATGGGAAACAAACTGCGTTAGAAAACGAGATGAACAGATGAGGTACGTGATAAAAAGTACAAGGAACAATAAAAATAGCGCTTCTTTTTTCATGATTGATTGAAATGAGAAAAAAATGAATACAGGGCATGTGCATTGGAAAACAAAATGCATAAGAAACAGTACGCACGGAAGAGTGCACATGGAAGAGTGCACGTGGAAAAGAGCACATGGAAGATGGCACATGGAAGAACAAGGAACACATGACATTGGCAATGGAAAACACAATGTAAGAGAAAATGAGATGAACAAATTGAGGGACGTGACAAACAGTATGAAAGAACAACAAAAGTTTGATTGAAATATAGAAAAAAATTAAAACATGACATGGGCCTAGGAAACAAGATGTGACAGAAAACGAGATGTACAAAGTGTGGGACGTGACGAAAAAACAAGAAAACACTAAAAATGGCTCTGTTATTCAATTTTCATTGAAATGCGGAAAAAAGGACACTTGAGCAGGGACAATAGGGAACATGTGACAGGAAACAAGATGAACAAAAAGACGTGATAACAAAAACAAGAACAAAAAAATGGCTTTTTTTCAACTTTGCAATGAGGAAAATTGAGCATGTGACAGAAAATGAGATTAACAAAATGCAGGACGTGGCCAAAAGTACAGGAGAACAATAAAATTCTCTCTCTTTTCTCAAAGACGAAACGTCGTCGCACTGAAAGTCTGTGAGCGCCATCTTGTACTCGTAGAGCTTAAAAAGTTACTATGTGGAAGCGAGATTTGTTTTTTGATACTTTTTCAAACAAAGTCAGAAAAAACGAAAAACGAATATGGTTAAGGTTTTTTTCTAATCTCTTGGAAAGGGATCGGAATTTCCCAATTTTTAAAACATCATTTTACTGAGCCCTAAAATACGGAACTTTGTTGTAACCAACTGTGCATCTCTTAGGATCTTCGATGCTGTTCATTCTTATCTTGGACACACTGTATAGTTCATCTTGTTTCGGATGAATATTTTCGGAGTAATACTGCTTGGTATAAAGGAATTCAGAGAAGTTAGTCGAAGGGTGGGTTTTTGAGGACATTTTCATTAGGGATCGAGTTTCCTGGCAGACGATTTTGGCGAGGTGAATTTTTATGGCGTTTTTTTAAATGATATGGAGGCGAATTTTTGTAGTGTGAAGGTTCCGGTTACGAATAAACTTGTTTCACATCGGCCCATATATTGTAGATTCCCATTATTTTAATCAATCTTCTTTGTATTATTTTCCTATTCCACTTGCCAGCTGGCAAAATTAGGTCATGGAACATTGCATACTATCTTGAAGAAGCTTGCTTATGTAAAATTGTAATTTTGCATTTATATGCGCATGAACTGGATCAGATATTTTAAAATAATGAATAATTTATACCACAGAAATAGGAAAATTATAAATTTAAATTGAAAACCATTTACTGCGTCGATAACACAATTTCATATTTTCTTGTACCCAAGGTTAATCACTGAACGCGGCCAGAATAAACCCCCGAGTGTTATGCCACACATGTTACACGATTATTGATTTCTGCACTTAGTTTCGGCGTGTTTGGCGCGCGCACCCCTAGGTGGCGCCGCCAGTAGCACGTGAAAACATTTAAACTTGCGGCGCAAATAAATTTAATACTAACGGTTTGTTTTTGTTTACAGCTCTCCGAGTTGGAGCAAAGGGTTTTGGAAGCGGAGGGTCGAGCGGAAGAAGCGGAAGACAAGGTATAACTTCTTTGTTTTTTTCTCTTTAGAATGTAAGTAAAACAATTAAAGCGCAATCGAAATGCAGCTGCAAAAAAAAAACGCGAAGTATGTATCAATTGTTGCGTGAGATGGGGGTACTGAGCGGTTGCCGAGCAACGCGTCTCACTTTCCCTATCGTCCCTTATTGATTATTTTTCGTCGCGACGCTGGTGCCCATGGATATGGCGTCTTGCAGCTGACAGAAAAGCGAGAAATTGGGAATAATTTTTATTTCGACTTTTGTTTTGGTTGTTTTGTTTGTGCGCCGATTTGCTTGTTTGCTTCTTGGAATATTTTCGCGAAAAAATGTAAGTTGAACGTTTAGTATAGGTTTCCCTACATCCTGAAGTGTGCAGAAAGCGCTTTGTTGTGGTTGAAACATGGAAACCCCATGTTGTATTTTGAAATTGCCCTTTTCCTCGCACGTTCTCAAATATCGCTTGGCCAAAAAACCCTCTAAATGCACATTTCGTATTAAGTTTCTGCTTCCTAGTCTTAAAGCAACAGAAATTCGTATAAATTTTACAGTAGGCGAAGGTTTTTAATTATTTAAGTAGATCATCCGAGAAAGTCATGAAATTTAAACGCTTAACACCATTTTAGTGTTTTTTTTTCGTGTAGTATTGGAAGTCGATATCGGCTTTACTTTAACTTAAATTTCGCTTAGGTTTTTCCAAGTTAAGGTAACAATAGTGCTACATTTTTTTTATTAAACAGAATGATGAATAATTTTTTATTCAAACACCCATTTAATAATAGGTACGGACCACGTCCGTCCCCTCGCACGTGGTTGGTATTGTGTAACGTGTCGCTTTTACCCTCTGAACCGTTAACGAAGAAGCTAAACTATTGATGGAGAAGTGAAAAGCTAAAGTGTCATACAAACTACTATTTGTTGTAAGAATAGCTGCAGTTATTCTGGCTAATTATCTTTTAAATGAAACTTGACCGAGGTTCCTAATCGAACAGACGGATCGAACCACGGTGAACGAAGAAATTTGGTTGGTTCCGATAAATTATTTTCTTGGAAATTCTTGAAAATTGCTCAATAAATAG